CTATGGACATTGTATTTTATATATTTGCTTCCGCTAGCCCGTTATTTTGTTAATCTGTTTCAGAGGTCTTCGATAATCTTAGGATTACTAGCCGGTTATGATGCTAAACCTATAGTGGCAGGTTTGGGTCGTGACAGATATAAAGACTACAAATCCATTAGTGGATATGTTTTCTCTAATTGGAGCTATAACCGTGTTTTGGAGGTCTTCCAAGCAGATGTGTATCACAAGATCAATAATGAAATTAGAATGGCTTTGCCGTTTTCTTGAGGATATTCCATGTTGATCAAATCTTGTGCTAGCAATTTTCTATACTTTGCGACAACCAATCAAGTATTGGTAGGGCACAAATGGAAAGTCTAGACATTTTTCATCGAAGACATAGTTCCATACGACGACTACTCTTGTGTGCTGTCACTATAGACTATATACCGTCTAAGGACAATATTACGGATCCGTTAACTTAAGGGTAAAATCGAGGGTTGTAAGAAGTCGTCATGAGGAATGAGGTTAAGGCTTTTAGCGAATGTTACCAGAACAAAAAACCCAACCTCTTAAATAAAGATTCAAAGAGACAACCTAATTATGTGTAACAGGTTAGTCACTGAAGAGATGAATCCTCTTTGCCATTCCTTTATACAGTGATACTTGTACAGTGGAAGGTTAAGCTGATGCTTTTAATAACCTAAGTGCTATGAATGGTTAACCGTGGTATGACAAGATACCTTATATAGGTCATCTATATAAGTGCGAAGTGGGGCCGTTTCTTTAAGAATTAATGAGGTTGAATTCTTTAAAAACACTCATTGAACCAAGCTAGTGTTCCAGGGCCAAACCAGAGACGCCAATGAGAACAAAAACAATGGTTGGAGTAACTCCTGTGTGAGGTTTAGTGTCTTGTCTCGGTTTACACAAACGACAATTGTCTCGGTTTACACAAACGACAAAACAGTTCAAGACATCGTGTTCACTGGTTAATTAGTAAATCCGATAGGTTTTCATTACGAGAGGTTTAAGGCCAACAGCTACCTTTCTGATGCAGGATTATTTTGTGTGCTTTCTCTCTCCGAGTCTTTGTTGTTAAGCGTTGTCCGCTTTTCTTTATTCGGCCAATTTATTCATATGGGGGATTGTTGAAAAATAATGATTTTTGAGCAACTTTAATTCAAAATTAAAGTGGGACCTAACAGGCAGTTAAGGTGGGTTTTAGTGGTTTTGTATTCTTTTAAGTGAGAAGGTTGCAATACAGAAGTAATTAAATTGTGAATAAAAATTGTCTCATAAAGTGGGCATCAATAAAAGTTGGGCTTGGGCCTAGGCTTGGACTTGGACTTAGTCTTAGTCTTAGTTTTGGTCTAGCCTGGCCTAGGCTTGTATATGTGCATGTATTGGACTTAGTCTTGGGCATGGGCCAGATTGTGCTATACTGGACTGGACTTGTCTTGTGCATATATTTTAAACTAGGTTTGGATCAGGTTTTAACTCAACACCCGTATCAATTTTGCGATCCATCTAGTTAGATTATTTAAATAGCATTATATATATATATAATGCTAGGGAGGTTTTCAACCTTTGTAACTCTTATATTTTGATGATAGAGTTGATGATCATATTATGCACATGGAGTTTTGCACCTTTGTAACTTTAGCCCTAATGGCTAGAGGTAATGGCCTTTGATGCTAGGTTTTATGGTAGCCTTCACTGCTAAGACCTCTTTCCTACAAGTATAAAAATGGCATTTCCCCTCCAACTTAGATAGATGAGATAGAAATATTTTTGAGATGGAAAATTTGTGATTTTCTTTAGATAAAGTTTGAGAAGTTTTTATACCAAAGAAATATTTCTATCTTCTTTGTGCTAGCTCCTTCTTTGGTTCTTGTTGGAGAGAGAGTGCTGCCATTGTCAAGTTCGCTAGAGTTATTCAGAAGGTGTTTCTGTATTAGCTGGTTTTGACCATCGTATCCTAGGAAACAGATGCTGACGTACCTTTAGCACCCATCGGGAGGCAATGAATCTGTTTTAAGAAAACTGTTGTATCACACAGATTTCGGTTTGCATCTTTTATCTTTTGTTCGTGAAACTTTTAAATTTAAACTATTTCTTGTATATTATTTTATATGTTCATGAGAATCCATCTTGTAATATGTTTTATAATATAATCTAATTTATTTATGTATTTTTAGTTGTGTAGTTTATTATATATTTCATTTTTTAATAGTAATAAAAAAATTGTTTTGTCATTTCTATTTATTTTATTTTATATATTTTCTTATATTATTATGAAAAAAATACCAACATACACTATAACTACCATCACTACTATTGTCGCCACCTCTAACACCCCCTCCCACTACCACAATCATTACTTTGTGTTGGCTACATATTTTGTACAAGCCAATTACGATTCGACGCGTGGCAAAGTAAGGGTAGTACGGGAAGACTATTCAAATCTTCGATCTTGATTGTACACGTGTCAGTTAATATTGGTTGTTACGAGATCTGAGTAGCAGTGGATCAGCAGAGAGATATAAAGTGATGTGGCATCATCGGTTACTCACATTTGAATTCAAATTCAAGAGGGAAGCCTAACTGCAAGTGATGGCGTAATGGAGCTAATCTTGAGGCAACATGATCAGTGATCATGGAGGAGCAGTTCGACGGTTGAAAATACAGTTCGATGGTCATCCTTAAGTAGTATAAATAGCAGAAAAGGCCCCAGGAAAAGCCCCCAGACTCAGATCCAAAAAACCAGCCTTATTCTACTTTACTTAGTTTTACATATCCTGTTCTTTACATTCCAGTACTTTAAATTCTGCATTACATTTCATTTATAGGAGTAGTTTCAAGTATATTGCCGTTGTAAACCTCTACGAGGCTGAGTTTGAATCATTGTAATTTTTTCATTCTAATGAAATGTTTCAGTTGTTCTTTATTCGATTGATATTTTGTTTAATTCTCCTAAATCAAGCCACCGGTAAAAGTTCTCTTCATTGAGGTTGAGAGAACTAAAACACAATCGTCTGATAATTAGTTGGCAATTAAATTTCTGTAAGGACTGATTGATCCTTACTGGCACGCTTACAATTACAATAATAACTTTCAAAAATCAAAAAGCCAACACTTTGCCACCACCATTATCCCACTTCTACTGTGCTGCCATCACCATCACCAACTCCCGCTGCTTCCACCACTGTGCTGATATCCCACCATCACCAATTAAATGTAGAAACCATATTTCTTGCATAAGATATTTCTATGATAATTTGTTGTAAAACTTATTTTTCATTAAAAAATATGTGGACCAGAAGAGAGGAGGATAGGATTGCTCTTTTAGAAAGTATGAAATGAACATTGCAGCATTCTGTGTTTTATTCCATAATTAGTGGCCGACATCACCCACCAGGTCCAAGGCATCAAACCTCCCCCCAATTGGGTTTCTTGGCATTCCTAAAAAAACAAACATATAGTTATCAAACAAATAAATGTGTATGTACTGTCAAATTATCAAATATTATTATATTATAAATAAAGATATATAAAAAGAAGGTGGATCAATCAAGTGGGAATTATTCTTCTATTGCTGTGTAGGGTTTGACTTTTACTTTCTAATAAAAAAAAAAAATATATATATATATATAAATTAAAATAAAATAACACATGTTATTAGAAAAAATTTCAACTCTTTCTTAAAAAAATAGAGAAAAAGAAACTAACTAGTTCAATGAATTATTCAATGTTCCTCGAACAACAATAATTGGCGTTTTAAATGAATAATCATTGGTCTAAATTGTAGGATTTATTAGTATTGTGTCAATTTTAAGAAATAACATGTAAAGTGTCAATTAATAAATGGAATAAAATAGTATTCAAAGAGTGTTAATGGTACACCAAGGATCCTCTAGAGTGAAATTTCCCTAAAGTTTCCTAGAGTGTTATATTGTGTGATTGAGATTTACTGGCAAGTTACATCAGAAAAATTGATGTGATTTGCCAGTAAATCTCAACCACACAATGTAGCACTTTAGAAAACTTTAGGAAAAAATCACTCTAGAGGATCCTTGCTCTTAATGGTAAACTAAAAAATTCTGAATTTAACACCGCAATTTAATTAATACACATAATTGAAGAGTTTTCACATTACTTTGTTTTTTCCCCTTAGTTTAAGCTATAATATTCCAACAACTAAAATAATGTGAAAGAAGAACAGTATACACAAATAGAAGCTTCCACCTAATTCACACCTATTAGGAGAGTCTTGATTGGTAGTTTAAATTTCACGTTGTCTTGAATTGCTCAAATTTTGGCTTGTCGGTTCACTAACCGGTCATCCGGCAAAAAAACTGACAATCGTGATTGGCAAGATAATAACTACGGTAGACAAGTATTTCACCTTCATTCGGGCAAGTTCAATCCAAGCCATCAATCTTTATTTACCCTTCAGTTGAAGAGGTCACTTGTCAATAAAAAAGAGATATAAGAAAATACATTTTTTTTAATTTAATATTATTAATGAAATTTAAAAAAATTTAAAGGAGAATTAGGAAATGGGTTACTGTTGTGCCTTTGGCACAGTAGTGACTATTATGCATCAATTTAAAGTGTATTATGGACTTATTTTTATGATCCGAACCGTTCATTTGGTAGAGTTTATTAAGTACTTCATGTGTACCAAAAATCATATTAATCGGATATCAATAACTATATGATCGATAACCAAAAAAATAAACAATAAGTTTTTCTTTTGAGAATAGCATAAAAAAATATGCAATTCGATCATATAGTTATTGATATTCGATTAATATGATTTTCAGTAGGCATGAAGTACTCAACAAACTCTACAAAATGAACGGTTTGGATCATAAAAATAAATTCATAATACACTTTAAATTGATGCACAACAGTCACTACTGTGCTAAAGGCACAACAATAACCCCATGTACGGAGAATTATATGCAAGTGAGAGTTGGAAAAAAAAACTATCAACTCATGAATTATATTCTCACAACCTTTTATTTACACCCCACCACAAATATATTTATATCCCATTTATTTGTAATTTTTTTTCTCTAATTTCCAGCTAGTGGCCCAATTTTAAAAATATTAGATGAAGGGGAGTTAAACAACATTGTTCGCTCCACTTTTTTTTATTATTCTCAGTCTGCTAGCATTATAACTCATAGGTGCTCAAGCTCTACTTCAGACTGATCTCCACATTCATTTCTTTGCCCTTCAATCTATAGGTATGTCTTCTCTTAGATTTTAGATCTTCTTTGTACGCAATCTAACTTCTGTTTCTACATACATAAACATCTGTGTACTTGTATATGTATGTATATATACGTTGACTCATATATCTATTCACAATTTCTTCCAATTTTTTATTGATTTTTCCATCAAATCTCCAATTCAAGGCTTTAGTATTCGCGGGTTTCAATTATTTCGTTCTGTTTCTCCTTTGATGATTCTCTCTCATTTACAAGAACTTTTAGTTGTTGTGTCTGATAGATATAGATTCAAACAGTGCGTTATTTAGGGTTTGAAAGCAAATTAGAAACCCTTTTGATGATTAATATCAGTCTTTGATTGTTATTGTGGTCTCAAAGAAGAAAAAAAATTAAAAAATAAAGTGAACTAGATTACATTCTACAACACAAGATTTTGTAGTTACAGCTTCAATCCTAGATCCCCATTAAAGCTTTTGATATTTGGAACCCAAAAAGAAAAATCCAAGAAAAAAGAAAGAAAGGATGGTTTCAACTGATAATGGTGGAAACAATGGGGGAATTGAGGAATCTAATGGTTCTAGTGAGGTAAAGAGTCAGATTCCTCTTCACATTTCTGGGTCTCAAAAGGGACTTATAAATGATGAAAGCTCTCAAAATAGGTTCCATGATGATTCATCTGCTCTACCCAAAAGATTAAGGTTCCTCAAATTTGGTTCTTTGGCTTCCCCATCTGTGAAATTCCAGCGTATTGCTACGCAGAGAGATGAGATTTCACGCGCAGTGCCTTCTGTGACTAATCATGCTCTTCGAGAACAATTCAACAAAGTCTTTTCCCGGAAAATTGATTGGGTCTCTCTTTGGAAGATGGGCAAAGAATGGTTTAGAGATCCCATGAATATGGCCCTTTTCGTTTGGATAATTGGTGTTGCTGTGTCTGGTGCGATTCTGTTCCTCGTCATGACCGGAATGTTGAACGGTGCCCTGCTGAAAAAAAAGTCCCAGAGAAATGCTTGGTTTGAAGTTAATAATCAAATCCTCAACGCACTGTTTACTCTGATGTGTCTTTACCAGCACCCGAAGCGAATCTACCACCTTATACTTCTTATAAGATGGAGACCAGAGGACATTTCCAAACTTAGAATGATTTATTGCAAGAATGGGACTTATAAGCCTCACGAATGGGCACACATGATGGTTGTTGTTGTGCTATTACACCTTAACTGCTTTGCGCAATATGCCTTGTGTGGTCTTAACTTGGGTTACAAGAGATCAGAACGACCAGCTATAGGAGTTGGGATAACTATCTCTGTTGCAATGGCTGCACCTGCAATTGCTGGTGTTTACTCCATTGTTAGCCCCCTCGGGAAGGATTATGATTCTGAATTGGATGAGGAATCACAAGTTCAGATTAACCAGCCAAGCCAGTCAAGATTGAAATCATTAGAGAAGAGATTTTCATTCGCTTCAAGAGATGAGAGGATGGTTATTGAGAGCAGACCAAAGTGGAGTGGAGGGGTGCTTGATTTTTGGGACGATATTTCTTTGGCATATCTCTCACTATTTTGTAGCTTTTGTGTTTTTGGGTGGAATATGGAGAGACTTGGGTTTGGAAACATGTACGTTCACATTGCGACTTTCCTTCTGTTTTGTATGGCCCCCTTTTGGATTTTCAATTTGGCAGCAATTAATATCAATAACGAGGCTATAAGGGAGGCATTGGGGATTACAGGGATCTTTCTTTGTGTGTTTGGTTTACTCTACGGTGGCTTTTGGAGGATTCAGATAAGAAAGAGATTCAACTTGCCACCATACAGCTTCTGTTGCGGTAAACCAGCTATTGCTGATTGTACATTGTGGCTTTTCTGCTGTTGGTGTTCTCTTGCTCAGGAAGTGCGGACCGGGAATACCTATGATATTGTCGAAGATAAATTTTGCAGGAAGCAAGTGGATGGAAGTGACCAATTACCAATTTCGCCATTGCTTCGTGAAGATGGAGACTTTCAATACAGGTCCGGCCCGAGTTCTCCACTTGGGAACGTTTCTTCTTCTTCTCAGATTACGAAAGCTAATTCTCCAAGTCCCAGCAGACTTCCTCAGGGGCATTGTAGTCCAAATCGGCATCTTCCTTTGATGGAGGAGGAGGAATCTCGTTCAAGAGGTAAGGATGCAACTATGACACCACCTGCTCCTTCACTTATAGAAAGAGAAGCCAATTAGCATAAAACTATGTTGTTTTCGCTTTGTGATTTGTATTAGAAAATGCTGTAGGCTATTTCACATGATTGATATGTACTTTGAATTTTTGTGTGTATACAGATGCATTTTACGTGTAAATGATCTTTCTTACTTATTTGTCTCTTAAAGATATATTTTGTTTAACACTGGGTTTTTAGTTACTTCCATACTTGGGCAAATACTCTATCTAAAGCAATAATAGTGGTGCATATTTTTTCCCCCAACACGAAAATCTTCAGATTTTCTTGAGGTCACAATATAAACCAAACCAAGCCAAGTCAAGTCTTAAGTTCTATCAAATGGGGTCGGCTACATGAATTCTTCTTCTCCACTCGACTCTATCAACAACCATTTGATTAGTCAAATTAAGGAGATTCATATCTCTCTTTACTACACTAGCTCACGTCAATCTAAATTTGCACATTCCTCGAACACTTCCATTTATCGTCACTGTATTGCATTTCTTCACTACTGCCTCTGTTGGTCTCCATTGTATATGACTAAACCATCTCAATCTATGCTCTCTCAACTTATCTTCTATCGATTCTACTCCTATCCATTCATGAATATATTCATTCCTAACTCTGTCTTTTCTAATCTTGCCACACATCCACCTTAGCATTCTCATTTCAACAACACTCATCTTGTTTACATGTTGTTTCTTAGTTGCCCAACATTCTGCCCCATACAACATTGTTGATCTAATAGCTGTTCTATAGAACTTTCCTTTTAGTCTAGTGAGTGTTCGTTTATCGCACAGTACCCTAGATGCACTCATCCACTTAAGCCACCCTCCCTTGATTCTATGGATCACATCTGCTCCGATTTCCTCAGCCGTTGTGATAATTGATCCTAAATAACAAAAACATTCACTCTTAGATAGTTCTTGGTTTTCAATGTTCACTTCTCTTTTATTTCCATTATTACTGTTACTAAAATTACACTTCATGTATTCTGTCTTAGTTCTGCTTATACTAATCCTTTAGATTCAATTGTTTTTCTCCAAGTTTCCAACTTAGTGTGAACTCCTTCTCTAGTCTCATCTACTAACATGATATCATCAGCAAAAAAACAAATACCATGGCACATCATCTTGAATATTTCTCGTCAACTCATCTATAACTAAAGTAAAAAGGTAAGGACTTAAAGTTGATCCTTAGTGTAACTCCACAGTAATTGAAAATCCACTTGTCTCTCTAGCAGGTGATTTAATAGTGGTCACCACACCTTCATACATGTCCCTATCATCAATGTAACATTTTGTCACCCCTTTCTTCTCTGACACCCACCAAATTATACCCTGAGGCACTCTATCATATGTTTTCTCAAGATTGATAGAAATCATATGAATGTTTCTTTTCTTTTTTCTATACTTTTCTATTACTCTCCTTAAAAGATAGATCGCTTTCATTGTTGACCTATCAGGCATAAATCCAAATTGATTCTCTAGCACCTCTGTTATATCTCGCAATCGATATTCCATCACTCTCTCTCACACTTTTATTATATGATATAATTGTTACAATTCTAGACATCTCCTTTATTCTTATAGATTGGCACTAAAATACTCTTCCTCAACTCCTCTGGTATTTTCCTAATTAACAAAATCTTGTTAAATAACCTAGTCAACCAAGTAACTCCCTTCTTATCCTAACATTTCCAAGCTTTAATAGAGATATTATCGGATCCTAAAGTCTTATTCGATTTCATCTTCTTAAGTGCAATCTCCACTTTGAAGTTCCTAATCCTGAGATAGAATCTGTAGTCTTGGTTTTCCTTATTACTAGCTACCTAAGAAGTACGGACACAGACACGTGACACGACACGCACAAGCAGACACATGAATTTTCAAAAAATGTAAGACACGACACGTTGGGGACACGTTCAAAACATATATTTTTATATTTTTATTATATGTATATTTTTACCGTTGTAGAAGACAGTTTATGGGGTCATGTCGGACCGTTGTAGCAGACAATGTTGTGATAGTTGTTGTGACAGTTTACGGAGTCTTGCTGGACCGTTGTAAATATTTAATAGATATTTTATGTCAAATATTTAATTTTATCAAATTTATTAACCTTAGGTATGCTATTTCAGTAAAAAAAATTAAAAGGTTTAATTTAAAAAAAAAAATAGTACTCAACATGTCCTCAACCTGTCCTCAACGTGTCCATAGTGTGTCCAACTCTTTCCGGTGTGTTTGACACGTGTCCGAAGCATGTCCGGCGTGTGTCCGTGTCCGACACATGTCGGACACCTGTACACAACCTCCGGAGAGGTGTCCATGCTTCATAGCTAGCTACTTCCTCCCCTTTTGACCTGCCTCCATGTTCCTCATTTAACTTCTCAAAATAGTTTTTCCATCTCTCCTTAATCTCTTCATCCTTTATCAATACCTTATAGTCCTCACTCTTGATGCACTTAACCTGATTAAAATCTGTTATTTTCATCTCTCTTATCTTATCAAGCTTGTATATTCTCTTCTCTCCCTTCTTACTATCTAGTCTAGTGTATAGGTCATCATAGGCTTTCAATTTAGCCTATCTCACTACTTTTTTGACCTACCTATTAGTCAATCTGTAACTCTTAAGGTTTTCCTTAGTTCTATCATTCTGCCACTTTTTAAAGCACTATTTTTTCATCTTTATTACCACTTGAACCTCCTCCTTCCAGTACTAAGTTTCTTTAGAGTTGGGTCCTTTTCCTTTCGACTCTCCAAGGACTTCCCTTGAGATTCTCCTCATACAATCGGCCATCGAGTTCCACATAACGTTAGCATCATTTTCCAAGTCCCAAGTACCTCCTTTATCCATTTTATTCTTAAATATTTCTAGTTTATCTCTTTTTAGGTCTCACCATCTCATCCTACGACGCTTACTATCTTTCCTGGCTTGGTATTGCCCTTTAAAGCATACATCTAGTAAAAAAATCCTATGCTGAGATGTCAGGCTCTCTCCAAGAATTACCTTACAGTCGCTTCATTTTAGATGGTCCACTTTTCTTACTAGAAAATAATCTATTTGACTCCTAATTAACCTACTCTTCGGATTTTCTCTCACCCATGTCTCAGAAAAATATCTATAATAGTATTAATGCTTTAGTTTGGTTTACCTTTGGCAAATGATAGTCCATTTTGATAATTTGAAACTTTTAAACTTAATCACCGTTTCATTCACTAGGGCAATACAATTGGGGAAACCAGTTTTGATTATTATTTTAGTTCCTAAATAACTATATCAGTAATGCTATGGTCCTAGACATAAAAACCCAGAATTTCACATCAATGGCTCATATTCATTTCATATGTGGACCCCACACTTCATCAATTCAATATCCATCCCAAAACCCATTTCTAGGTATATTCTGGGTCCCAAATTCTGGGACCCTAGCTTTTTGGATTGTAAATGGATGTAGTGAATCAGCCTTCTACACCCAGCATACCTTGGAAGAACACAACTACTCAAATCTTGGGCCACCTGGGGCCAAAAGCTTGATTAAACAAAATTCTTATCTAAGCAGATAGAAACTGACCATTCAAATCCTTGACATTTCAGTCATGAACTATTGTAATTGCTGAGATATTCACTGCACAGATTTGGCATACATGAAAGTCACTTTAATCAGACCTATTTCATGATTTTCATCACAGTTGCTTAGAAATGTTGTGTTTGTAGCTCAAGAAGTCAGAAGTCCTCATCGGATGAGACTCATCTTATTAACTTCTACGCATCGTTTGTTGATGTTCTTCTTATATGCTGGCTTAAAATTGTTTCTTTATTCCATTTCTTTGTATGTATAATTAGATTCTTCATTTCTTTTCTTTTTTCTTTTTTGTCTTTTATTGGCTTGTCTGAGGAATAGACAAAGCTTATGGTGGCCGAATTGGTTATCCACTTTTACAATTTGACTTATAGGGCATGTTTGATTGGAAGGATTAAAGCATGGGATTAGGATTATTAATCCGTGGGCCCAATCATCCTATGTTTGTTTTGACATTTTGATTTAGGACTATTAATCCAATGGATAATTAATCTAACAAATTTGTAGGATTATTAGTAATGGGGTAAGGATGGGATAGTTAATACCACACTAATTTAATAGGATTATTAATACCTCACTATTAATATTGTGAATCAAACATGACCATATAGTGTTAGTGAAAATGGTTGACAAAATCAACTGCAACTAAGAGTCGTCACACATGGAGAGAACAAGTTATTCCCATGTTTTAGAAATCTAGTAATGGTTCTTCACATATGCTTCTGATCAATTCATAATTCTCATGATTGAGTATAGTTTTGAAGGAGTTGATTTGACTGCAATTCAGTCCCAGGTTTCAGAATTTTAGAAATGGTCCTTCACATATGATTCTGAACCAGTCATAATTCTCAGAATAATGTTGTTTGAAGCTGTCCCTTTGAAGGAGGCTCAAAGCTTTGGTATACCAGAGGAGACTATTTAGTCCTTTTCATATAGGCTCATGTGATTTTTCTGTTTGCATTTAAATTTTGAGGTTTAAGGGACTAAGAAAGAAATATCATGACCATTTGTGTGATTTTAATATTTTTTGATTTTGAAGTAGGTGGTGCATTTCTATCATTTGGTGGATGAAACATCCTACAAATTGTGTAAAAGAAAGTGTCCTGACTAAAATTGAGTTCTTGCTTTAGATGATTTGTTATAGTTAAAGTTGAGGGGGAAAAAAAAAGTAAAAGGGAAGTATATGTCAGATTGTTTGGTGTAACTTTTACTTATAATTTCTGTGGCAAAAAATGACTTGAAGAAGCGGAAAAATTCGATTATCAAGAAGCTAGGCAAGGATACTTTTGATTTTTGCATTTAAATTATCTATTTTTCGTTTGTCAGAACCTGTACCAAATAGGGGCAATATCTAATTTTTTAAGCTATGAATTTTCATATAACAATTTTATCCTGCACCTTCAATTATATGGCAGAAATGCTTTCCCCAATCTTCTTTGGGATATTTGCTTTGTTTTGTAATAGCTCAACAAATTCTAAGAGTTTAATTTTAACCCAAGTTTTTAAATGGGAAGCGTAACACGGGGCATTTTACCTCTCTTGAGGGGAGGAGTAAGTCTAAAGTGTCAAAGCATAAGGATTTCGAATTTTAAAATTTTATTTTTATTAAATAAATAAAATATTTGAAAATAATAAAAAATATTAAAAATCAAATACAAAGGTTTACATATTTTTTTGCTTATGGAGTTGAACATTTAATTGCATAGAAAGAAACTTACCCTCATCAAAAGTGAAATCGACTTTCTAAACTTTAGTTATCAAGCTTTTCATTTGAGTGTAAGCTGTGTTTTTTGTTAGTTAGTCATTTACTTGATTTTGATAAAACAACCCCCCCCCCCCCCCCCCCCCCCTCTTTCTTCCATAAAGAGTTTGGAAGGAAAAAATTAAAAGACGTAGCATTTAACAATAGTTCAATTAAAAGACGTAGCATTTAACAATAGTTCAATAGAAGCTCTACATATATACGTAATTCTCGTATGCTTATATGCGCAAAGATGTACAAGGCATGCTTGAGACGCACATCTTAGATTGTAATGCACAATCTTTTGAGAAGTGTCGCTTAAAAATCAAAGTTTCAATACAAGTCTCAATAGAAGCCTTTTAAACTGTTCTTCAAATAAACTTAGAGAAACAACTGTTCTTTAGCATCATTTGGAGTAGCTATTTTTAACTTTGTACAACATCTAGTTCCTATTCAAATCCCAACATGTTACCTATGCTTTCATTAAATTCAACTATCTTTTATTTCTAGTATGCCTAAATTGTGTTCAGATTTGAGATTTGACTATATCTTCTTCTATTATTTTTTTTACTCACAAATCCTTAAATTTTAGATCCAAACATAACCTTACATTCATATTGATAGATCTCACCCCAACTTTTCTTATCGAACTTTTCCGCCTTAGTCAAAAACACATGCATAATAATCCAGTTTCCTCAATTAGTGGTAGATATTAATTTCATTAGCAATAATTATCATTCGGTGGGTTCTTCTGTTTTTTAGGTATTGATTGATGAGTTTGTGCATTATTCTTACGTATATTGTGCAACATCATGGCCAAACTTCAAATTTGTCCTTAATATGAGAGTTTACAGTATGGGAATTTTGAAGCATGCTAGATTTGGATGAATTATTAGGCTACGTTTAGATGGTAGGAATAGAAAAGCGAGATGAGAATCTCATTCTATATCTCTTTCATTAATGCAGATTACTATCATCAATATATATAGATTTCTTGTTATTGCACTTAGAGAAATCTAAAATGTACCGTGAATATTGATAGTTGGATCAATAAACTTCACGTATACATACCATTTTCATCTTGAGTGGTAACAAAGGATGACGAAAATTACAATTATTGACACATGAAAAGAAACAACATTGATTGCAGATTAGTAGAGTCTCCCTAAAATATTTGTAAATTCATGATTTTAATTATTAAAATTGATAAAATATTCCGCTAATTTGTAATTATTTTAAGAAGATTCTTTTGAATTGCAATTTCCCCACCAACATTTGCATCCAACTTAGCTTTAATAAAGCATTATGGCATGTCTTTTAGGCAAGTATTTTGTCTACATTAAAATATTTTTTGGGTGGTTCCTTGTCTACCTTATTTTGGGGTGGGGCCACTTTTCTTATTTTTATTAATTTAATCACACAATGAAGATAATGGACACGACACACACAAAAAAAAGAAAAAAGAGAAAAAAAATTATTGCCCATTGGATGGGCATGTTGTTTATTACCTTTTTGGTCATTTGGTTTTATATTTATTTATTATATTTGTAGGCCGGTTCAAGAACACCCTTTATGATAATATTTTGTGATTTGTTGATCCTATCTTTTATTTTTTAATTAATAAAATATATTAATTTTATATTTTTTAAAAATTAAATAATTACTTGCCATGATGAAAACTCCACTCATAGCTTACCTATATTGGACATGGCACGCGGGGCTTCCACATATGTAACCACAATTTTTTATGTAATCATTAAAAGAGTATTACGATTGCAATTCAACCTAGCATTTGTGGAGTCTATAGTTAAACCAAATAGGGGAAACTATTAATCAGTAGGGGGTAGGGAAAATATTTTAAAATATTTATTAAAATGTTAGAATTTTTTTAGATGTAATTTTTTTTTACATTGGAAAGAGTTGCACTTCATATTTTTATATATATTTTTGATCAAATAAATTAATCCGTAGTGTCCCTAAACAAATATCTAAGATGTTATTTATACTTTCTTTTAATAAAAAGATTTTTTTTTTTTTGAGGGTCTTAATTTATGAAATCATTTAAACAATGAGAAGGAAAATGATGTTTTTACTGTAATTTTAGAGAATAAAGACAAAATAAATTGTTTTTACCACAAAAAAGAAGTACTCCTATCAATATCACCACCTAATATTTTTTAGAGGACAATATGGAAAAATGACTGTCCACCACTTAGGTTATGTTTGATGTTCCCACTAGTTATTGAGATTATGATTTCGATAAGATTGGAGGATGAGATTATTAATGTGATGATATTATACTAAAGATATAAACTTATTGTGTTTGTTTGTTTGCATGCTCATGTTTATGAAAATACATAAAAATCTTCATTACATACAACAAGGTGGTTTTTATTTTTTAATAAAGTGGAGGCAAAATAGTCTTCCATTTCAAATCGGAGATAGAATTAGCAATACCCATTAGGGGATAATTATTGGTAGATCCTATTGACTAGACTCATTATTGAGTATTACTATTAACCCCTACCTTTCTTCTTCTGCTTTAGATCAAGGAGCGGCGATGACTAAAGATCTAGTGTTTGCTTGTGCGATCTAGGATTTGCAATGGTGAAGTGGAATTGAGAGAGAAGAGTCTCGTGGCGATGGCAGCTAGACAGTAATGGCACGACCACTGACAATGGTGGTTAGGCGTTGGTGGTGAAATCAAGATCGAGATCGCCAGAGAGAGAATGGGGCTCACGATGGTAGCGCTGACTATAGGTTGGTAGGAGGAAGAAAAAGATGAAGGAAATGGGATTGGGTTGCAACGACAAGATGGTGGCGTCAGTGGGTGAAAGGGTGGAAAGGGTTTCGGATGCCGGTATGTGGGATTGTTAGCGGCGAGAGTTGCCAGCAAAAAGAAAAATAAAAGACAAGTTAGGTCCAAAAGAAAAGGAGTAGAGTTGGAATTAAGGTAGTGGTTCAAAAAAAAATGGAGGGGATCCATTTTGTTAGGTGGAGGTTCAAAGAAGTGGGGGCCGAAAGAACAAAGATAGGAGTAAATAGAAACCTTCTTATTATTTTGTAAGTCTGAAGTAAATTTTTTTTCTTACATAATTGCCTCTTGTTTTGATAAAGAGAAAATTTTTAAACTTTTTAAAAATATTTTGTGTTTATAAAATGAGTATTTGATACTGATAATGATACTAATAAATCTATCAAAATGATAAATGATTGGTAACTTTTGACTTTTGTTTGTAAATCAAACTCACCGTCCTCTCCATACAATATGAAAAGCATGGCCCTTAGAGTGGAATACAAATAAGCCATTGCTATTCGGCCCAGCCAATCATGACTGTTACTTTTAGTGTTGGGCCAACATGTTGGATTTTAAAATACTTAGGTTATGTTTGGTGGTTATGTTTGGTTGGAGGATTTGTTGTGAGAAATGGAAAGGGAAAAGGAAATGTAATCCCACTCTTTGTTTGGTTATAGTGGAAAACACAAGGGAAAAGAAAGTGAGGGAAATGCAATCCCACTTTTTATGTTTTAGGTTCACTTACGCTGTGTTTGGTTGGGAGATTTGGGAAGGGAAATGGAAAAGGAAATGGAAATGAAAGGAAAAGGAGAAAGAATTAATAGAATTCCAAATCCCAATTATGTTTGGTTGTGTTGGTTATAAAATAGAATTGATGTCCTAAAAGGTATCCTATTTCTTTATTTATTTCTCACCCCCTTTCTTTTCCCATATATTTTTTATTATAACCAAACATAAATAAGATTACATTTCTCATTCCTTTTCCAAATCCCACCTCAAAAACTCCAACCAAACACAGCATTAGGCTCCTTTCTTTCTCCATTTCCCAACTTGACCAAACATAGCTTGGAATTTGAATCCTATCATTTCTTTCTTATTTTCTTTCTATTTCCTTTCCTTTTCCATTTCCCTTATCAAATACTCTAACCAAACACAGCATTAGAGATATACCTAAATGATACTTTCAATTGACCACAAGTATCACAAAAAATATTAAATAAATAAATAAAAGGAAAATAACTAATAAATTATATTTTACTCTTAAAATTATTATTGAATCTTATCAAGTTTTAATATAGAAAAATCCTATTTGCGATAAAATATTTCTAAAAAATTCATTACTCCGTAGTGGTTTATCTTATCTCAATCTTACTATTATCGGTTACCTTATCGGTTACCATGAACAATCATTATATAAACAATTTTAACTTAATTGTAATTTAAAATTTTAATATAAAAAATTATTAATATTATATTTAAAAAATCATAAATAACAATTGGATCCAAAAAAAAGTATAATATAAAATGTATCATATTCTGTTATTTCAAATTATGAATTTTCTTAGTGTAAACAATCCAAAAAGGCTAAATTCTATTAAAATTACAAAGTGCTATGGAAAAATAATACTATGAAAAAATTATATATTTCTCAATGTATGAGATAGTTGATGAATTTTATACTTATCCTTTTGTTTATGAAAATTCATTTAATTTCAATAATTAAAAATATTTTTATTATAAAATTTTAAATAATTGAAAATTATTTGTAATAATTAAAAATATTTTTATTATAAAATTTTAATAATTGAAATTTATTTGTGAAATTTTTGGTTCATATTTTAATGATAAATGTAAAATTAAATTAAAATATACTATTATGAATAATTGAATTTTTTTATAACAATTTATAAAAAAAAAAATAAGACTTATTTGTTAATATTAAAATTTGATATAACTCAATAGTAATTTTCAAAACATAATAAAACTTATTGATAATTTTTTCATTGAGGTTTATGATTTTTTTAATACAATATCATAATTTTTATAATTAAAAAATATAATTTTACTTAGATTAAAAATATTTATCAAATTGTTGTTCATATTAAATATGAGGTAAAATTGGAATGACATATACCATTATGGAGCAATGAACATTTTGGACCTATTTTATGAAAAATTCGAGTTGTCATATTAAAACTTAATAGAACTCAATAGTAAATAGTAATATTAAGAGTAAAATAAGACTTCATGGTTATTTTCTCATAACTTAATGAGTAGCCATTTGATATTTCCAAATGTTGGGAGTTCTCTTAGCTATTGAGTAAGGAAAATGCGGGCAACACCCAGTAATGGGCGACCCCCAGCGACCTCCAGCCCACGTGGCTATGGGTGATTGGCAGGAAAAAAAAAAAACTGGCGAATGGCGCTGCGCCACGTCACTGGGGGTTGACCCCCAGTGGGGGTGTGTAGCATTGCTGATTGAGTAATTATCCAATGTTTTAGAAATTTCATGTTAGTTATGTGTCCAATTAATAGTAAGAGGTCAATGTTAGGAAAAATATGTAATTCCCCACAAGTAAATCAATTAATGAGAATAAAAACTAATGCGAAAAAATTAAATCAAAGGCAACACAATAATTTTTACGTGGTTCCCTCAATATAAGGTACGTCCACGGGATCGAAATCCGATTCCACTATCAACTAAATAAGTTTCCAAACGAGACACAAATGGTCTCACAAAATCACCCTTAGGTGAATTCCAAATGATCACAAATAAACAAGAGGAAAGACCTCACCAAATAGATGAACCAAAATCTTCGAAACAGAGTTGTAGAAGACCCAAAATAACAACCCAAATCAACACCTTTTGCGCGCCAAAGTTGTCAAAGCCCTTAAATCGTGCTTGAAAACAATCCACTGACTTGAATTTATGTCAAACAAATTGTTGCTACATAGAGCAAGTCCACCGAATTGATTACCCAGCTTGTACACACACAAACCAGCCGCACAACACTTCGAAAAAAGGTGGAACAAATTTGTAGCAGTCGTACGGTACGTTTTTTCTTGTGTAGAATAAACAATATACATATATATATATATATCAAATCTTGGGCTTATTTTACCAAAATCCTAGTTGTAACCAAACTGAATTAGGTCTCCAAAAAAATTAGATATAATATATATAAAATATATTATACCCAAACCAAACCAAATTAAAATTCTTTTAACAAACCAATTGGGTCTCAAACTCCAATAAGGAGATATACCCCAACAATTCTCCCCCTATCGACTTAGGTGGAGACATCAACCATACCCGCCAAAGTTCGACACTTTAAATGTTTGTCCCTCGATAAAGTCTTAGTCAACATATCCGAAATATTATCATCTGTGTGAACATTTTCTAGTTGCAACAATTTTGAATCTAACGCATCACGAATTCAATAGTGTCTCACATCAATGTGTTTCGATCTCAAATGAAAAGTAGAATTTTTACTCAAGTGAATAGCACTTTGACTATCACAATAAAGCACATACTTTTCTTACTTCAAACCCAACTCTTACAAAAATTTCTTCAACCATAACTCTTCTTTGCTAGCTTCCGTAATGGTAATAAATTCAACTTCGGTAGTCGAGAGAGCAACACTTTTTTGTAATTTAGATTGTCATGCCACAGCTCCCCCTGCAAAAGTCATCAAATACCCTGAAGTAGATTTCCTAGAATCAACATCACCGGCCATGTCAAAATCCGTGAACCCATCAAGCATCAGCTTACCATCCCCAAAACACAAACACACCTTCAAAGTCCCTCGAAGATACCTTAAAATCCATTTTACCGCTGCCCAATGTTCTTTACCCGGATTAGAGAGAAAACGACTCACCACACCAATGGCGTGAGCAATATCCGGCCTTGTACAAACCATAGCGTACATCAAAGAACCAACTGCTGAAGCATAAGGAATTTTCTGCATCTCTTCCTTGTCTTTCTCACTTGTAGGACATTGATTCGAACTAAGTTTGAAGTGACCCGCAAGTGGACAACCAACCAGCTTTGCTTTATCCATGTTGAACCCCTCAAGGACTTTCTCAATGTAGCTTTCTTGAGACAACCAAATCAACCCCTCTTTGCGATCACGAATAATTTTCATACCAAGTATTTGCTTTGCCAGTCCCAAATATTTCATGGCAAAAGATTTACTCAACTCTAACTTCAACTTGTTAATCATGGTAGAATCTTGACCCACAATTAACATGTCATCAACATAAGGCAAAAGAATGATAAATTTACCATCCGGAAAATTTTTCACAAACACATAATGGTCCGAAGTGGTTTTAGAAAAACCATTATTCATCATAAAAGAGTCAAATTTTTTGTACCATTGTCGTGGAGCTTGCTTGAGGCCATACAAACTTTTCTTCAATTTACAAACAAATTTCTTTCCCTTTTTCCACAAAACCTTCCGGTTGCTCCATGTAAATTTCTTCTTCAAGGTCACCATGAAGAAATGTGGTCTTTATATCAAGTTGTTCAACTTCAAGGTTCATACTTGCAGCCATGCCAAGTACAACCCGAATAAAAGACATCTTCACAATTGGCGAAAAAATCTCATCAAAGTCAATACCTTTCTTTTGCCCAAAGCCTTTCACAACAAGGCGTGCCTTGTACCTCAGATTCTCGCCACCATTCTTCAATTTGAAGACCCACTTATTTTTCAAAATTTTCCTCCCCTTAGGCAACTTCACTAAATCATAGGTGTGATTTTCAAGTAAGGAATTCATCTCCTTTTCCATGGCCTTTTTTCAATCACCTTTCTTTGCATGCTCAATTGCTTCTTGGTAGCTCTCAGGCTCCCTTTGATCGGAAATCAACACAAATTCATTGGGAGGATACTTTCTTGAAGGTTGCCGGTCCCTTATAGATTTTCTCAACTCAAGTTGTGGTGGCGGCTCTTGAGTTGGATGCTCTTCCTCAATTTCTGGCTTAACTTCATTAGGATTAACATCATCCTCTACATCTTCAATAGGTGGCTGCATATCTCCCCCATTTTCATCATCAACTGAAGATGAAGGAGATGGATCCATGTCAATGAGATCACTAATTTTTTGCTCCTGTTGATCACCTTTGCCAAAGTCTTCAATTGTTTGGTCTTCAAGAAACGCAACATCACGGTTTCGAATAACTTTCTTGTCGACCAGATCCCATAATCTATACCTGAATTCATCACGTCCATAGCCAAGAAAAATACATTGTCTTGACTTACTATCAAGCTTGGACCTCTCATCCTTTAGAATGTGAACAAAAGCTCGGCAACCAAACACTCTCAAGTGCTCATAAGATACATCTTTACCGGTCCAAACTCTTTCTGGAACATCACCATTCA